CCCGGGTTCAAGCGATTCTCCTGCCTCAGCCTCCCGAGCAGTTGGGATTATAGGTGCCTGCCGCCACGCCGAGCTAATTTTTATAGTTTTAGTAGAGACGGGGTTTCACCATGTTGGCCACGCTGACCTCAAACTCCTGACCTCCTGATCCACCTGCCTCAGCTTCCCAAAGCGCTGGGATTACAGGCATGAGCCACTGTGCCCGGCTGGATGCTGTTTTTAATCTCAACAGGTTCACCTTGATGTTATATCTCATGAGTCTAGGATAGTAAACCAAATCACCTGTAGTTAACCTTGTGCATTAACTTTTTTGTGCATCTGCTCTCTGATAACCGACATCTCACATAAGCAGTATACAGCAGTTTTCAGCATTCTCCTGCCCTTGGCCAAAATTGTCTTCACCCAGTTATTAGTGAGCAAATTAGAGACTGCCTTCCAGCCCACTAGTGGCCATATTTTTGTGACACTGTAAGCCACTGAAGTATAAATTATCTGCATTGTCTAATTTCCTACTGTGAGGTAATTTTTTTTAATGTATTTGTTACCATCCTTATTTATTGGACTTGGTGATGGTGTTAGATTTGGGCAATTTACTGAACTTTTCCCTGTTTATAACCTTTGCTTGTCCCTTAAGAGGAAAGCTGATGTTTTGCTACTTGCAATGGAAGAGATTGCCCCCAGCTGACTCCACTCTGGAGAAATTCCAGGCTTTAGACTGGTACTGATATCACATCTAATAGGATGTGGCTAAGAAGCAACTGGACTTTGTGATTAATAGGGAGCTGCAAATCAGCAAAAATGTGTCCCACAAGCATATAGTGTGGTGGAGTGACATGCAGAGGTGCCTTTTTGAAAGTTTAGCTTATATCCTTCTGCTTTGAAGTTCATTACCAAGGAAAATATGCAAATATCACAACTTAACCATTTTATCCTAATGGTGCCTGTGATGAAATGTAAATGAAAGGTGGCACTTCCAAGAGCTTCCATATACATCTTGGCCTGATCCTTATAGCCCATAATCCCACTGCCTTGTGTGCAGTCCTAAACTTCAGGATCAAACCACCTGGGAGGTAAACTCTAATTGTCTATGCTTTGCTCTTTCTAAAATAAAAGAGGAGTTTCAATGAGACTTTTTTTTTTTTTGAGACGGAGTCTCGATCTGTCGTCAGGCTGGAGTGCAGTGGCGCGATCTTGGCCCACTGCAACCTCTGCCTTCAGGGTTCCAGCAATTCTCCTACCTCAGCCTCCAGAGTAGCTGGGATTACAGGCAGGTGCCACCACGCCCGACTGATTTTTGTATTTTTAGTAGAGACAGGGTTTTACCATGTTGGCCAGGATGGTCTCCATCTCTTGACCTTCTGATCTGCCCCGCTTGGCCTCCCAAGGTGCTGGGATTACAGACATGAGCCACTGCACATGGCCTAACTGGACTTTTTAAGCAAGAGTATGAATAGGATAGTGAATGTTGACATATCATTTACACAGAAGACCTGGTGTCAACTGTTCTCAACAGTCTCTCTTCCTCTTCCTGTCGTGGAATTTATAGTTATTTGCTGTTCATTGCTTTTATCTTAAAAAAAACTCAGTGATATATTACCTTGTCTAGATCTTTAAACTGGATTGTCAGTGTGATATTTAAGTGGTTTTTTTTTTGTTTGTTTGTTTGTTTTGAGATGGAGTCTCAGGCTGGAGTGCAGTGGCACCATCTCAGCTCACTGCAGTCTCCACTTTCCAAGTTCAAGCGTTTCTCCCACCTTAGCCTCCCAAGTAGCTGGGACTACAGGCATGCGCCACCACGCCCAGCTAATTTTTGTATATTAGTAAAGATGGGGTTTTGCCATATTACCCACGCTGGTCTTGAACTCCCAAGCTCAGGCAGTCTACCTCCCTCGGCCTCTCAAAGTGCTAGGATTGCAGGCATGAGCCACCGCGCCCAGCTATTTGGTTAATTTAAATGAAAATACTGATTTGCTCAGTTTGATGATCAGCTCACAAATGACTTATATTCAGCCAGAGAAATGGGAGCTGGTGGAGAGGATGGGATCATATCCCATTATCAGGTTTGAAGGCCAGGCATGGTGGCTCTCGCCTGTAATCCAAGCACTTTGGGAGGCCAAGGCAGGCAGATCACCTGAGGTCAGGAGTTTGAGACCGGCCTGGCCAACATGGTGAAACCCTGTCTCTACTAAAAATATAAAAATTAGCCGAGTGTGGTGGCAGGCACGTGTAGTTCCAGCTACTTGGCAGGCTAACGCAGGGAGAATTGCTCGAACCCAGAAGGTTGAGGTTGCAGTGAGCCAAGATTGCACCACTGCACTCCAGCCTGGGCAACAGAGTGAGACTCCATCTCAAAAAAATAAAAATAAAATAAGGTTTGAATTTACAGAATGTAACGCTCTCTCTGAAGAGTATAAAGTGTATACATCCCAATAATTATATTTTAATTTTTTTTATCTCTTTGAAGATAATATTGGGAGGATGCCGTATTGGTTATATATTTAAGCTCTTTGGATACTACACCTGTAGGTTTTTTTACTGGTTACTGTGACTTCTGAAATAACATCTCCCTTGTGTGAAACTCAGCATGAGGTCAGAATGTGTTAGTCCTGTCTCCTTGCCACTTAATACCTGGCCAGCACAACAACCCGTGATTGATGGGTGAATGCTTGACGCCTAGTGGTGCTGACATGAACTACTGCCTGAAAAAGGACAGCTGTGTCCTCTCTCCCCATTTGTTCTAGGATTTTTGCAATAAAGCACATCCCCCCAAATGGTTTCTGCTACCCTTTTAAAAATCAAATGTTTCTACATGAGCTGTAAATTTTCGAGAATATGTTTTGCTGTATCAGCCCTTGCCTGACAAGGAATAGCATGAACTAGCTTATGTTTCACAATCATCTTCCAAGTGCTGTAGCAACTGAGTTGGCCACTTCTTGGCAGTTCTTGGCACCAGCACAATGGTAGGTTCTGAACTTGCACCATACTCTGATCGTCATCCAAAGTGCAGTGTTTTGGTTCATTTGGAAAATCAAGGTTACAGTTTGCATTCACAGAATGAAATTTCCCAGCAGTGTTCCGTGATTGTCAGAGTGATGTAATGTGATATATTAAAAATCAACAATTGTATTTTTCTCAGCTTTGTTTTTTAGACCGAAAATGACTTGGAGTTTTGGTGAACCTTTATATTTTAACACCACAGGAGCCAGCCACATGGCCAAATGTGTCAGCTGCCAGTGTTTGCTTGACATACAGAATAGAACATTAAGGAACTCTCAGGTTGGGAGGAGGGAACTGTTGACCAGGACATCAGACTGAGGTTTCTTGTTTTTGTTTTTGTAAGCACTATTTTTAAACTCTTAAACAAGTAGAGGGACTATTTTAATATTCTACGTATAGAAGAAATAGCCTTTATGACAGTCTTAGTTCTAAATGAAACAGAACTCATCTTTGTAAACATTAAGAACTAGATCCTGTATATAGAAGCAGGGAAAAGAACAGACAAGCTTACTTGGTTTATCAGAAGCCATAAAACCCTTAGAGGAGATTAAAACCTTTTCTCCTTTTCTTTGTAGATGGCTCTGAGAGGTTCCTCTGCGAATCTGTTTTTAGCTATCAAGTGGCATCCACACTTAAACAGGTGAAACATGGTAAGCACAGGAGTGTTGTGTACTTGACTGTGAGAATAAATTTGCTAGGGGGTGGATGAGGCTGTGACAAAAACCCCCAAACTCAGCAGGGCCATTTAAGTGGACTCCCTAAATTAAAGAACATTCTAAGGTCTTAATCTAGTCATAATATCCACATTGAGGCTTAAGGTTGGGGCTGGGTGCAGTGGCTCACGCCTGTAATCCCAGCACTTTGGGAGGCCGAGGCGAGAGGATCACTTCAGATCAGGAGTTTGAGACCAGACTGGCCAACATGGTGAAACCCCATCTCCTGAGGTCAGGAGTCCAAGACTAGCCTGGCCAACATGGTGAAGCCCTGTCTCTACAAAAATACAGAAATTAGCCAAGCATGATGGCAGGTGCCTGAAGTCCCAGCTACTTAGGAAGCTCAGGCGGGAGAATCACTTGAACCGGTAGGCAGAGGTTGCAACGAGATGAGATTGTGCCATTCCACTCCAGCCTGGGCAACAGAGTGAGACTTCATCCCCCCACCCCCCCCCCAAAAAAAAGAATCTTTAGGGGGAAAAAAAATCCATAGAAATTATTTTTATACCAGTCATCTTGGTGGTTGGTGGCAGTCCCGTGGGCAATACATTGTTGTATAATATTCTCTTCTTGACTCTTCACAGATCAGCAAGTTGCTCGGATGGAAAAACTAGCTGGTTTAGTAGAAGAGCTGGAGGCTGACGAGTGGCGGTTTAAGCCCATCGAGCAGCTGCTGGGATTCACCCCTTCTTCAGGTTGATGCTGCCTGGATGGTCACCTGTGGTGCACAGCTAGTTCAGAGCCAGTGGGGGACTTTCTCACAGCATACACAGCCATCCAGAGAGGTCCACAGCTACGCTGCCGAATTGTTAATGCACATTTGTACTTGGTTTCTCTGTATCTATTCATAGGCAACAAATACTTATATGTGTGATCTTTCAGGGAATGTTTTTGTTTATTTGTTTTTAAAAGTATTGGGAATCAGATTAAGACAATCGGTTTCAGAGAACCAGAAGGTTTGGGGTTAAGAGATATCTATAAAATTTACACAAGCCAGGTAAGGTACATAATCAGATTTAGCCAACTGAATGACATCTGTCCTGTCATCCATACAGCGCCTGGAAATATTCACCAGTCAAGGTCAAGGTCAGCCTCTGTGGTTAAAAATAGAACAGTTTGACCTAAAAAAGTTATTTTGCAGATGAATGTGATTTCAACTCAGGACTATCCAAATGGGGAATTTTCAAATACTCATTTTTTTCCCTTTTTTTAGACATCAATTCTAGAGATTCTGACTTTTTCTACCTTCTTCTAGACATGCCAAATGCTGGCAAAAAGAATTGTTTTTTGGATATGGCAGCACTTGTAAAAATAAAGCAGTAAGCAAAATCCTTTTAAACACGGAAACCCTGAGTTCATCTCATTGGTGGACTCAAGCAGGTCTGTAGCAAATAAATCCTTTGAAAGAGCTCCAAATTGGTGTCTTTATCCTTTCAAAATCTCAGGGATTTGGGATGAGAAGAGGTCAAATTACTTTTTGCAAGAAGGGAATCTAAAAACCATTTTTCCTAAACAAATGGTAGACTCGCTTTACATCAGAGATATTTGTCTTTATAGGAGTACATGAATTTCTCTTATTGACAAGTAGATTTTTTTTTAAGAGACAAGCTGTTGCTGTGTTGCCCAGGTTGGCCTTGAACTCCTGGCCTCAAGTGATGGGATTACAGGCATAAGCCACTGAGCCTGGCCTCAAGTAAGTTTTTATACCATGATAGGGAAAAATCTGGAAGGCTGAGAGATGTGCTTTGTTTCCCCTCGTGGGACCCCAGGTTCCACAGTAAACAACTGGGATAATCATTTATTACATTGTATGCAAATTTTGCCTTAGACAGCGTTTGTCTGTTTCCTCATTAATAACTTGCACTGATCTACTTAGAGCTGCTTAATTATAAGTAAATATAATCCTAGTAGCAATTGGCCTTAATCTCAGGAGTTCAATAACGTGTTCTACCTGATGGGAGGTGGTGACCTCATTCAGTCTGTTAAGAGTCTGAGCCCTGTGAAGTTAAACACCTGCTCATGGTCACATAGCCCAGGCAGAAGAAAATCTCGGAACTTGGAATAGAGCCCAGTTGCCTGATAATTAATCTCATTGTTGTCTCTAAAGCAAATCAGAGACTGGGCATAGTGGCTCCCGCCTGTAATCCCAGCACTTGGAAAAGCCAATGTGGGCAGATCACCTGAGGTCAGTAGTTCAAGACCAGCCTGGCCAACATGGTGAAACTCTGTGTCTACTGAAAATATAAAAATCAGCCTGGTGTGGTGGCACACTCTTGTAATCCTAGCTACTCAGGAGGCTGAGGCACAAGAATCGCTTAAACCCAGGAGGCAGAGGTTGCAGTGACCTGAGATCATGCCATTGCACTCCAGCCTGGGCAAAGAGCGAGACTCTGTCCCAAAAAAGTAATAAGAAAAATAAAAAATAATGCAAATCGGAGCACAAGAAGTACCAGTCCACTAACTCAACCTTTTCCATATTAATAATTCTCAACTAAAAGAAGTTCCATATTTGAAAGCATTTTAGTTTTTAACAGTACTTATTAGCATCAACCATCTTGATAATCACCAAAGGAAAAATTTAAAATACCTAGACTGCCATAAACCTTTAAATTGGATTTTCAGTGAGAATTTAGAAGCAATCACTGCCTTCCTCTTAATTGTTTCATTTGTGTAACCATGCAGCAGAGGCACTGTGTTACCTCATCTTTACACTTTGGCATTGGAACTTATTACAGAATATTTTCTCTAAATTGGATGTTTCTTTATATAACCTTAGAAACCAAAGTGATCTTAGCATTAAACAAAAATGCCGTCTGAAGCACCTTTCCCATTGATCACTTAGCTGCCCTTTTAGTCTTTCCAAGAATAAGACTCTCACAATTTTTTGAAGAGAGTACCTCCCTCTCTGTACCTTTCTGTCAGACATGTCACATCATCCACAACTCCTGTTACTATGCTTTGGGCTCAAAGATGGTCCCAGTTGCTCATCTGTCATCTGTCATCTCTTGTGCCAGTCACTCACAGGCATTATTTATAATCCTCTGAATAACACAGCAAGATACGTAATACCCCCTAATATAGAAGAGGAACTTGAGGCTCAAAGCAAGTGTCACTTGCCAAGGCTGCACGGCTAAGTCAGTGGCCAAATCTGGACTTCAATTCAACTCAGCCAGACTCAAAGCAGCTTCTTTTAGATGCACTATGCCACATCCCACCAAACCCAACCCAGTACATTGTACTAGGAAAAATCGTAAAACTTTTTTGATTAAATAATAAAATGAAGTAACTACCTGGAGAAAATAAGCCTTGCGCTACCTTCCCTTCTCCCTCCCAGGGCTTGGCAAAAAGAGAGCTCAAGCATGATGAAAGAATGGCTTCAGAAACAGGAATCAGCTGTATGCTGGCTTCTACATATCCTCTTAAGATTCAAGATGGAGAAAATATTAACAGCTTAGGGAAGGCTGTTCTGGGGACACCCAAGTGTCCCCAGAAGAGGGCAGATGGCAGCCAGTGACCAGGACCCACAGTCGGCCACCCTAAGAGAGCAGGTGGTAACACTGCCTTTTGTGCATAAAACATTTTCCAAAGCATTTTCACTTACCTTGTCTCTTGATTTTCTCTCATCAACCCTGTAAATAAATGAGACAGATTTTTTGCTTTTTCATAGGGTCTCACTCTCGCCCAGGCTGGAGTGCAGTGATGCAATCATAGCTCACCACAGCTCCAACCTTTTGGTCTCGAGCAATCCTCCCGCCTAAGCCTCTGGAGTAGCTGGGACCACAGGTGTATGTCACCATATCTGGCTTTTTTTATTATTTTTTTTTTTTTTGTAGAGACGGGGTCTCACTGTGTTGTTCAGGCTAGTCTCAAACTCCTGAGCTCAAGTGATCCTCAACCTTGGCCTGCATGAGCCCCCATACCCAGCAAACTTAAGATAGGCAAGTATTATTTTACAGCTGAGAGAACAGGCACAGAGAAGGTAAGATACCAAGATTATAGCTAATAAGCAAGGGGCTGGGTGTGGTGGCTCACACCTGTAATCCCAGCACTTTGGGAGGCCAGGGCAGGAGGATCACTTAAGGTTAGGAGTTCAAGACCAGCCTGGCCAACATGGAGAAACCCTGTCTCTACTAAAAATACACAAATCAGCTGGGCATGGGGGTGGACACCTGTAATCCCAGCTACTCAGGAGGCTGCGGCAGGAGAATCACTTGAACCCGGGAGGCGGAGGTTGCAGTGAGCCAAGATCGCACCACTGCACTCCAGCCTGGATGACAAAGCAAGACTGTGTCTCAAAAAAAAAGAAATTGTTGATGTCAATCTGACACATAATTCCATGTAACTGTTTTGTCTCATGGTAATGAGATAACAATAGTATTTGTTTTACACAGTCGAACAAAATTTCTCTTTTTGACTTCACAATTAATTGTCCAGTATCAGCTTTGAAGTCCAGATGTTTCACTAATACACAAATGTGTTACTGATTACTGCTGTCCCCTAACTGACACCCGGAATGACAGTGTCTGGACTCTACATCAGGTTCCTGACCCGAGGACCTCTCTTTACCTGCCCATTTACCTGCAGCCTGTGGCTCCCCTTCCCCACATGGCTGAGAGTCTTTGAATCTGCTGTTCCCAGTCTGAGTACCAGATACTAAAATGGTGGAAACTGGGCCTTAAGGCTAGAACCCTCACCTCTGTAAAGGGAAGAGGCCAGAGCCAGGAGATTTCTATCATCCAGAGGAAGAGGAGGAAGCTGCTTAGGAGCTGGCCCCCTTTCAGGCGAACATAAAAAATATTACACTTAGAGGAGGCCGCTTTACCTTTCCCTGTCCTTTTGCCAAAGCACCTAACTTTGCCAAAAATATCTTGCCAGGCCTTCTAATTGCCTGAAGTTCAACCAAAACAAAGCCTTTCATTTAACTAAAGAGATGATCGTCTTAAGTAACAGGTACTTGGGAGAGTTAAAGCTTGGACTACAGGCAGACTGTAATGATACCAGATCTTTTCCTGTTTTCCCAGAGCTGAGTTTGGGATGGAGAGACACTAGCCTTCTGTGCATACATGTATTAGCATCTGGTCAAAGAGAGGGTGTTGGCATTGTAGAGCTGAAAGAGACCTCAGAGGTCATCTAGTTCCCCCCTCATTTACATATAGGAAGTTGGGACGTTACCTGTCTGGTTCACTGCTGTATCCTCAATACCTAGGACGCTACATGGCACGTAGTAGGTGTATCATAGGTCTCTGCTGAGCGAGTACATAGGAATTTGTGTGTTGTCTCTGTTTTAGAAACTACTAGCTATTTCTAGGCCAGGCGTGGTGGCTCATGCCTATAATCCCAGCACTTTGGGAGGGCAGAGTGGGCAGATCACCTGAGGTCAGGAGTTCAAGACCAGCCTGGCCAAGATGGTAAAACCTTGTCTCTACTAAAAATACAAAAATTATTTGGGTGTGGTGGTGTGTGCCTGTAATCCCAATTGCATGGGAAGCTGAAGCAGGAGAATCACTTGAACCCAGGAGGTGGAGGTTGCAGTGAGCTGAAATCACGCCACTGCACTCCAGCCTGGATGACAGAGTGAGACTCCATCTCAAAAAAATAAATAAAAGAAAGAAACTACTAGCTATTTCTAAGGCAAAATCCATAGTGGAGTAATAACTGAGGTAATTCAGATAGATAATGGGCACAGCCAAGGCTATCACCCAGATCGCAGCCCAGAGCTCCTGTAACACCACGCTGACAGGTGGAGGCTGTGGAACAAACGGAAACCATTCCAAAGCAGCCATCTCATATGATCCCATCCACCCAATGAGCCAAGGCAAAGGGCACTGGTGGTTCCCTGCCATCCTCATGGGCTTCTGCCATGGGCCTGGTGGTAGGATCACGTCAGCATCCACGAGCTAGTCTCACCTCACAGGTCTCTCATTTCTCTAGTGTGTCAAGTTTCCCCAGAAGGAGTTGTTTTCCCAAATCAGCCTGTTTCTTTTTCTAATATAAGCTGTTTAGAGGTCAGGTGCTGTGGTCTGTAGCACTTTGGGAGGCCAAGGTGGGCAGATCACCTGAGGTCAGGAGTTCCAGAGCAGCCTGGCCAACAGGTTGAAACCCCATCTCTACTAAAAATACAAAAATTAGCCAGGGCCGGGCTTGGTGGCTCACGCCTGTAATACCAGCACTTTGGGAGGCTGAGGTAGGCGGATCACCTGAGGTCAGGAGTTTGAGACCAGCCTGGCCAACATGGCAAAACCCCATCTCTACTAAAAGTACAAGAATTAGCTGGCATGGTGGTGCATGCCTGTAATCCCAGCCACTAGGGAGGCTGAGGCAAGAGAATCTCTAGAGCCCAGGAGGTGGATGTTGCAGTGAGCCAAGATCGCACCACTGCACTCCAGCCTGGGAGACAGAG